CTGGGTGCTATCTGACCTGTACAGTTGTTCTGAGAGGATTAAGTTGTTCTTGTTAAGGGAGATTTGGGGCAGGGGACTAGGGGCTTCCTGCTTCCATCCCTCTGAGTTTCTGAAACTCAGGGACCTGAGACCCGTGCCAATGAGAGCCGCAGAGTGTACACAAACGGGGGTCACTCCAGTGATGCAGTCAGTCTTCAGGGCCTTCCCAAAAGCAACTCACAACCTGGCGACCACATTCCACTGCTTCCTATCTGGAACATGAGGCAGCTAGCTGGGGGCAAGGCAGCCAACCAGGAGACTCAGTGTTTGGGGAGTGAAAACACAGAAGCCAGAGTGGTCAGGTTTGGACAAGGGAAATCATGTGGCTAGTCCTCTTCCTCATCCAGGAACTAGAAGGGAGGCCTAGGCAGGTCGCTGACCTGGCTGGAATTCTAGGTATGTGTGGGAATGCCTGGGAGTGGGGCTCCTGAGGCTTTGCTCTTCCTACCAGCTACTGAGAAGAATCTGGAGGGTGATGTGCTTTCCAGCTGATCTGTCACCTGCAACATGAGCCTCAGGTCAGCCTTGAGCGTTGGTCCCTAGGCCATGGTGACTCGTGAGAGGACGCCCTCCATAAGTCATGTGTCCTGCAAAAGGAGTGCTGCTCTGTGTAATGGGCCTGCTCTGAGGAGAAGAACAGAGGAATGGAAAGAACCAGCCCAAAGACACTGCTCCTTCAGGCTGGCAAACAAGTCCTGCTCATCAAACAGCGTCCTGGGCATGGCAGCCCAGGTCCCCAGGAGCCCACCTCAAAAATGGGTTAGGACAAGGGTCAGTCGTCTTTCCCTATAAAGGGCCAGCCGGGCCATGTGGTCACTGTCACACTCAATTCTGACACCTGAAATGCAAAAGCAATCGTGGCCAACCCATGAGTGTGCCCGTGTTCCAGGAACACTGCCACTGAAACTATGTGTTATAGCATGTTCACATCACAGATTATTACTGTCATTAAAGTCAGCAAAAAACAAAGCTTGTTCTCAGATCATGGGGTGTAAGAAATAGGCATTGGGCCGAACACAGGACATAGTCACTGGACCCCTACGGGTCCGGGAAGACAATGCTTCCCCATCTTTATATAATGAATTGCCTAGCTGGAAGGAGTTCTACCAAAAGACGCACCCCCACACATACCTCTGGCCTACACCCCAGCTCTTGTATGCATAAATAAATAAATCTTTTTTAAAAAATGCAGATTCTATCCTACTGGGTCGGGAATGGGGTCTGAAATCATGCTTCACAAACAAGCTCCCAGGTGACTCATGCTACTGATCTCATATTTCAGTAGTAGAGGTTAGGAAACTGCTTTCAGAAGCTTATTTTTTTAAAGATTTATTTATTTATGCATATAAGAACTGGGGTACAGACCAGAGGTGTGGGGGGTGAGAGGACTCACCAGAGACAGAGTGGGGAACAGAACAGGCAGACTGACTGAAATACACTGCTGAGGGGAGCAGAGGGCAAATCAGGAGAGGTCTGCCATGCCACATGGGTTGCTCCCTGGCCGGGGATCAAACTCGTGCTCCAGAGGCTGCTGATAGCTTCGCCATGCTGTGCCTAACCCATTGCGCCACCAGGGAGGCCCCCACTCTCAGAAGCTTCTTGAAGCACTCGGTACTGAGGATATCTGTCTAGAAGCATGAATCCGTCAAAACCTGCCAACCGACAAGCAGGTGTCTGAAAGGGCAGGGGCCCCTGGTGGTGTGGCTCTCCCAGGCTGCTGTTTTGGGTGGAGGGTGGGTGTCTACGTGCTCAGACCTCAAGTTACGATAACCTGGCAACATCACCCACCATGTCCCCTGGGCCTGAAGCAGGAAATTTAATGGGGAAGGATTTATTTGCTCTTTCGGTGTTTGCACATTCTTGGTCATTTATAAACATTCGTTCATAGGGACTGAAACAGTTTCAAGTCGGGTCTGAATGGAATTTAGCTGGGTATAATTTACTTGGTGGGAGGAAAAGTCAAAATCCAGGATTATTAAAACTGTTGAGTTTGCAGAGGCTGAAGGCTGAAGTGCTGCCCCAGGGAAAGTGTATTCCAATCAAAGGTTCAAGAAGCTCCTCCAGGGCAGGGCCTGGCAGATGTGAGATCAGGAAATGCCTCTTTGAACGGAGACAGCCATCCTGCTAGTGCTCCAGCAGAAGGTTCCAGAATTAAGGGATTTGAAATGCCATTTCACCATTGACAGCAGAAGGTCCAGTGAGTGCTCCCAGGACTGGCTCTCAGTCCACAGTCTGATTTCCCCCACAACAAACAGTGGGGCCCTCCCAAGATTCTGAGGAAAATTGGAAAGAACCCTCTTTTCCAACTGACCCACACACACTGTCCAGCAGTTTTACTACGGAGAGGTGCTTTTGCCATCCTTATACAAATAATATAGCTATTTTCTCGTATTAGTCTATATCTTCTTCCTTGGGAACTAGACTTTCCCTCATTTGTCCCTGACTCCCACCTAGTGGCTGATTCCAGTTCTGCAATGCATCCAGCCGCACCCAGGCCAGGAGGCCCTTAGGAAAGAAAGTGCTGACACTTAAGGCTTTCTGAGCTCTTAAGTTCTCCCACACTGGAAATCGGCTCACACAGGCTCCATTTTTTTTTCTTAAAAGATAAACACCAAAGTTCCCCTTATCTCTTTAAAATCCTGAGAAAAAGCTTTTCCTATGAAACGCCTGTCTGTAACCTCTCAAAATGAGAATGCGCAATTCACTATGACAGACCCGTCTTTTGTTCCAGGCCTTGGGTGGAAAACAGATGCAGAGACGATCACATGGCATGGGAAACTCTAGCTCATAGTTTATAATTGGTAAAACAGCCTTTTGCCTCACCTTTTTTGTAATTCCTCTGACTTTTCAATATGGTAAACAGATTTGCTTCTTTGGCCAGGAGAGATTCCAAACTGAATCTGGCAGGACTGCCCTGGCTTTGTCTCAGGAGCTGGGAATTGAAGTCAAGGTGGTGAAGTTGATACAGTGGGGGTGGGGTGGGGGGAATGCCCCCTCCTGTTTTCTTTGTCTCTTGAGAGAATAGAGAAGAAGGTAACTGAGGGTGGCTGAACTGACAAGTAGGATGTGCAAGATAAGCATGCATCCTAGAGACCTTAGCCCAGCCAGGCCCAGCAGAGGTTTCCCATTCACAACATGCCCCTGGGATGTTGGCCTCAGCCAAGTCCTGACATGAGACAGCTATACCTAGAGAGGCCTAGAAACTGTCTCTAGGAGGTTAACTAAAAGGTCAAGATTGAGCAAGGCAGAGGCTGGTGACTAGGCTGCTTGTAGAGCCTCTAAAGAAACTGCAGGACTAGACTGCTCAGCCAGCTCTTGCAAACAGACTGTCAAACCAACTGTCATTTCTAGTAGGGAAACGATGTCCAGAGAAAGGAAGAAGAGGTTCCCCGATGCCACAAACAAGTGGCAGGTGCTGGCCTTTTAACTCATTCCTGCCTCCCACACTGACTCACCCTGATATGGTTTGCTTCCACCTGGCCAAACACACTGACAGGTAACCCTGCAATCTTGCAAAGGGTTCTGGGGTTCTGCTAGGTGACCAAGCCTTCTCTATGAACCACACTTCCAACAAGGTACCCATAGTCTTCCCTCTAAAGGTCTCTACCAACTTTCCCTCTCCCCCTGGGACCTGCTCCTTTTGCAACTGTTAGGGGACACATGGTGGGTATAATGATGGGATGAGCCAGAGCAATTGAGGTCATCCAAGAGCCACTGATTTACCCCAAGGGTACCCCGTTCTCTGGACATCTTGTTAGTGATTTATAAACCTCCTTATTGTTTATCCCACTTGACTGGAGAAAGAATTCAAATTGACAGAGAAGTCACAAGGCAGACTTGTCCCATTCGAGGACAACGTTCAACAGAGTGACTCTGGAGTAGAGGACAAAGTCAGTGTGTGTGGAGAGAATAGTGCAAAT